AGTGCTGCGCCACAATTGGCGCAATACTGTTCACCACACTGAAGTAGCGCTAGTATGTGGCGCAGGGCTGGAGCTAAATCTTGCTTTATTTTGAAGATCCAACGCAGGGCTAGAGAAGCTCTTAAAATCGCATAAGCAATTGTTACAATAGTATATTTAATATTTTTTCAGCTAATTAATTGATCACGATTCATCCAAATTATAAAAGCTACATTATTCATTACATTTTATCCAATCAATATAATGATTTATATGTTATATAGTTCTTAATAACCATTATATAACTTATATTTTTAATATGTATGCACACATATAACTTATAATATTTTATTTACATTTATGAATGTGCACATGATCGCACACTGGTAGAATAAAAATATGGCAAGATGCACTTTGAAGGGGTGTTTAAAATGCCACAAGATTATAAGAGTGACAAGACTTGTTTAAGGTTGTTTTTCCTTCAGACATGATCACATGAGAAAGCATCATGGCACCATAACATTAACAAAAAGATAGTTACCCTTTCAAACATTTGACAACAGAGAGGAAAAATGAATGAGTGAACTGTCTAAAATGGAAAGATCTCTTTGAAACATTTTGTTATAACTTACACTTGTCTGAGACAAAAAGCAGTACAGTTATTCACAGTCTCTGAACGTAAACGTTAATCAGCATGCGAACTAGCTAGTCAAGAATAACTATCACCTTGTTGCCATGGTGTCGAGCATCAATTCCTTTCGTTTTTTTGTAGCAGGAATTCGACCATAATCTTCAATCTAACAATGGCAAACACCAAATCGATGACCTACCTCAAGTTCCATTATCTTCAGACGCATCCCGCGTATAAATCAAGGCCCTCCATAATTGAATTATAGCTTAGGCTTTGGTGAATCTGGACATATATGCTACAAAACCGCACATACGAATCAGAATATCTCATCATACTCTTATATCCTAAAAGGAGAGTGTGAAACCGAAAGACTAACTAAAATGCAGAACAATATATCGCAACCTAGCCTGAGCAATAAGGAACTTCTATTCTTCAGACTAAATTGCTAAAGTTCAAAACATTCAGAAAATTTGCAAGTCATCAGATCAGACACCTAAAAGCAGGAATCTATATAATTTATAGGAAAAAGCAGAAAACTTGCAAGTCATCAGACACCATCATTTTCCGAAAGTATCCTTTACATAAAAGATGAATGAAATATACACCCAATCCAATGATATTTTCTTATTTTCTTTTCATCCATTCATGTAGAAACTGTCATATAGTCAGATTGAATAAAGGTTTGACATATGTAGTCCTCGATGTAGAAGATTATTCAGTATGGTGGGCCAAATAGATTGCATCATGAAGTGAACAGAAAAATATCGTGAAGAACTGAAGCAGGAAAGTATGTAACTTCATCCAAACATGAAACAGCTGAATTTTACCTACTTCGAAACTTTGCAGAAGACATCCTTGATGCAATCAAGATTCACAAAAGATGTTTAATTCCTGTGCAACATTAAAGGACTTAGATTTTCCAGTTCTTCTTCCCTTACGTAGAATAATTTATTTTGGAATTAACTAATTTACAAATAGCTTCTAGTTTTATTGTTTTGGAATGCATGAAAAAGAGCATAATTTATGTAACCGTGATTTTGATCATGCTAAAAAATATGTTTTTGTGGGACGAGCATTGAGGTGGGTCTGAAAGAAGACTAATAGCTTTAAATAAATTGAAGGTGTACCTAGATAACACTTGGAATATCTTCAGATTTGTATGGGCGTTACCTCATGCTATTTTTCAAATCAGATTTCTTAGACTTCAGGGCGGTATACTTTAGGGTGGGTCTATGCCTATTTCTTTTTTATTGGGCCTATAGTTGTTAAGAGGGTACATCAGTAGGTCTAATACCTTGGTGTCGGGGCATCTTCAACCGAATATTTTCTGAACTGTAAGCTGGGCAAGATATTTCAAAAGGAGTAATACATGTTCTTGTTCCATTTTCTGCATTAACTAACAAAATAAGAAATTGAACTTATCAAAACATAAGTTCAGCTAGCTAACGGACTTAAGGCCTAAATAACTCATATCTCCACCTTCGTTTCTGTTAAGCCCCTAATCCATGCTTTACCCATTGGACATTAAACTAAATCCTGTGGAACTTTCTGAGCTTGCAAGAGTCAGGACCCCTACTAAAACATGCCAAATATTCACGTAATTGAGACGACAGTTCTCAGATCAAGTGCATAACCTAATAAATACATGCTTGCGAGTATTTGCAAAAATTACGGATTTTCAGAAATTCCAAAATCCTACTGATTAATAGCTTTCTTATAATAACTAGCTTCAAACATAAAACAAAAAGGGAAAAGAACAAAACCATCATTTACTCGTTTAGGTGGAACTGGCACCCATGTAGGAAAAAGGATTACAATATAAAGAATATGGCACTTTAACATAAAAGATCACATTACATCAGTATGGTAAGCATATAAAAGCATAAGAAAGTAACATATTGAAATGAAGCTGAGAATCAAAGACAAAAGGTTCTCCCTAGTTCAAATGGTAACTTAGATCACTTTGTGGACCAGAAA